GTAACTACCGAAGCACTTGTCCTCTCTTGCATCCGCTCGATTGGCAGACGAACGCTGACGACCATTGGATTGAGATGAAGTGACCACGAAATGGAGATTCCCGAATTTCATTGAAACGCGTGCGTGCATGCGTACGAGTAAATATGCATGCATGGCACGATGTCAATTCCTTTTCTCCATATCACTCGTACTGGTATTAAAATACACGGTAGTCAAAAATACCTCACAATACTGGGCGAAACTTTTTTTTATCAATACCGATACACGATCGTTTTTTAAAACTGCATCGTTTATTAATATCAAACCGCTAATTTCAGATGAAGAGCAAAGCAAGGGACATTGAAGAGGGTATCCGCGGTGCGATTGGTTGGTCTTCAAGAAGAGGAAAACAAGTATTTGGAGACCCTGGTTCTCATTTTAAGCAGCTTCCGGATCCCGTAGACTACAAAAAGATTGGAGCTCCGACCAAAGACGGTATGTATACAGTATATGGTCGTCACTGTGTGCTGCTCCTTTCTTGAAATGACTGGTCTAACGCTTGCTGCTCGTCAGGTGACTCCTTTTGCACAAGGACATGTGGCTGTCTTGGCACAGTCTTGTGGTCGATTCTTGGTCTCATCAACCTTTTCATCGGCCTGATTGTAATCTTTTTCGCTGTCTTGATTTCAACGTTTTGTTCCTTGTTCAACCCATACCCAAAAAGAAGTAAAAAGTTTTCTATTTTCTGTTGTTTTGAAACGATCATTGATCGAGTTGTGATGGCAGGCAAGAAGATTCGTGGAATCCCATGGATGATGATTCTTTTTTGGGACGACGATGGTTGGGTTGAATTTTTAGAGAGGTGCACCAAGCATAATTACTTCGTGCTGACATGGTGGCTAGAGAATGAATGGATCCCGAAACTAGGCTATAGAAGCGAAATCGCAGTTTTCATTTTTGCAAGAGTCGGAAGGGCAAATAAAGTATCTAAGCTTTCGGGCGTTGATGGCCCAGACGAGGAGACTCAAGCGCGAAGAGAAGTCTCCATGAGTATGGTGGAAGAGTTCCTTCGAGAAAAGCGGGACGTCGACGCTCTTGAGTATCTGAAGGCATGTCATGAAGAAGGAGCCGATTTGAATTGGCCCGATCCATATGGCACCACTGTTCTAAGCGTGGCCATTCGACGCTGTTATGTTCAGTGTGTCAATTGGTTGCTAGAACAGGATGACGCTGACCCGAACCGCCAAGACCACTACTACGGGAATACAGGCATGCACCTTCTTGTTCAGAGAACCAGCAAGCTTGGCGATGGAAAGGCAGCTGCAATGGTGCGGTTGCTCCTCGACACCAATAAATCTGACTTTACCATTCTTAACTTTCATGGTGATTCAAAAAAAATTAATTTCCTCAAGAAAGAAAGGGGCCGCACTCCTTACATGATGCTGCGCAATCCAAGCAAGTTTACAGAATGTGCAAACGCACTAAAGCCAAGACCCTCCTTTGACCAACTGAAAAAGCTTCTGAAGAAGAAGAAGAAAAGTGCCAGGCAGAAGTGCGATGACATCTATAAGTTAATCAGCAAAAGTCACAATGGCGATAGAAGCTTGCATCATCTTCATGTGATTGATATGCTTTTCTGTGCCAACGAAGGTTCGCACAAAGAGTTGGAGAGTCGACGGAAAACCATCTTCGATGACTTCTTGAAGCAGGTGTTGTTGCTCTCGACCCAAGAAGTCTCTGATGACGACAAGCTAACCCATGACGATGTAGCACTTCTTCGTTGGATGTATTATCAATCGTGAGTGCAATGTCAAGTATATACGCCGCTTCATTCTTTCACAATTCATTATCGATTTCTAACTACCCTCTCTTTTATCTACAAATCAGAGCGGGCCCCCCTGGGACCACCAAGGAAGAAGCAAGAGGGGCCTATATTGAAGAGTTCAATAAACTTCTTGAAGATGCCCAAAAAAGTATTGAAAAGCGGTATGGCGAAGTCTACAAATCATTGGAATCCGAAAAAGAGGCCGATGAGTTTTTCGACATTGGCCGTGAGCTGTATTACACCGCCCCCAAACAAAAACTGAGACATTCGTCATTCCTGCCTCTTCCTGACTTTGCTCGAAACTACAATGGTATCCAAGCTGTTCGTGACTTGAAAGCAGTTGGTGCCATCCAAAACTCTGGCGACTTTTGCGATCTCCTCCAAGGTCGCCACCGACTGTTTGGTGATCAGCCTCTCATTGGATTGTTCTTGGGCGACCCCAAGGAATACGAAAAGTCGGCGCTTTGGAGGAGTCTGTTGCTAATCTGGCAGATTTGTCTTCAAGAAATTATCAAGGAGGAGTTCGAAGAGAAGATGAGCGCCATAGCAGACAAAGTCGAAGGTGTCTCATTCAAGAGTGCTCCGGGCGTCAAAGGATTCCTTCGATCATATGAAAAGACAGAGGAATATGGCCAAGAATTTTCGGAAGGTGTTGATGCTTCGATGAGAGTTATTGATGGACTTCGGTGCAGCTTCATTGTTGATTCGCTTTCTCAGAATCTTCAAGTTGGCAAATTGATTGAGAGTACGTTTGGGGTAGCACGAACCAAGAATCTGCACCAGCGTGGTAATGTCAGGTATGCGGATCGGAAATACAATGTTGTGTTTGTGAGCGATAGGAAAGTAGATGGAGTCAGAGGCCCCATCCAGGTGATTTGCGAAGTTCAAGTATTGCTTAAGAAATACGACGCAATCAAGGCGGATGGACACTTGCTGTACGAGTTCCAGCGAGAGCCAGAACAAAAAGCCCCTTTGAAACTTCGCTCAACTGCAAGAGACGTCAAAAAACTCTGTAATTGTTTGGGTAAGTGCTGTGATCTCTTGGACTTCTGCTAGGGGTTTATTGCGAAAATGGAAATACTTCGTCGAGGTGGCATTTGAAGAAACTGCAGACTTAGATTTGGATTGGAAATTCGTCTGGAGGGAGGAAAAAAGGTCAGCCCAGCGCATTAGTACCCGTATGCAATAGGAGTGTTTAACGTCTATATAGCATTTCTCTTGCCACTCCAATGCTTAGAAAAATGAGATTCAGAATATCTCTAATTTTGCTTACTTTTTGTGTAAGCATAGCTTGAGTTCAATTTCGAAGGAAACAGGAGATAAATAAGGTATCGACAAATGAAACTATGAAACCACTGCGCTGCTTGAAAATGAGATTCGGAATCTCTCTAATTTTGCCTATTCTATTGTCGACATATACTGGTACCATCCAACAGAGAACCTGGTCGCTCATATCAATCCTCTGGTGAACGGTGGACCACCCTCATTGATTAATTAATTGATTTACATCGGACTGATAAAAAGGTGTTCCAACTGCTAGGAGATTGTACTGTGCGCTCAATGATCTGACGGATCTCGGACCCTTTCCAGTCGGTGGTGGTGGTTTGGGAGGGGCAACAAGGAGTTGCATAGCTGCCACTTCGGCATGGGATTTCAACGGCTCAGTCCAAGTTGATGGCTATAGTACGTGCGGCAACGCGGAAACGGTCGCCGCCTTGGCCTACTACAACTTTGTCTTGACGAAAACCATTGCGGAGAAATTGATTCGCATAACTTCTATCCGCAGGTGTGTTACTATCCAAGATGTAAATACAGCTAGAAGTAAGCCACTCGTTAGCGAACTGCGACATCCCATTTGATCTAATGTATGGATGATGCAGCAACTTTCGCAAAACATACGCTCCCACATCTGATGATCCAAACACCGTATACTCTTCATTCACTTCAAGCCTGCTGATGTAAAGAATAGCGAGCTCGGGATGATCACCTCCGTCCCGCAGAGAATGGAGCTTTGTCCTTCCACGCCGTGGCTCGAAAAGGTTCACAGCAACATACTGCAAGTCGCTGCTGTGTTCATCCATCACGGAGTAAAAGCATCCATCTGGAATCGCTAATCTTTCGATTCGTGTACCAGAAATCTTTCCGACTATTTTCCCACGAACAAGGATGTCAACCTCAATCGCAGTGAGGGCTTCGTAGTCGCACTCAGTGTCCCGTTCGTGTTCAAGGTGGATGGTCACATCCTGTTCCGTGACTTTCGCCACCTCCAACGAAGCCATGGATTGATTTGATTCAGTCAGTATTGCACCTTTTAGCAGTAGGCTGTTGCAATTTTTGCAGTTTCAACGACTTGCTGAGCTATTGGTTGTTACTACTGTGTGTACTCGTATGTAACAGTTGTCGCTCGAATGCTGATTTGAAATTTGGAAATTGGGTATGGGCTTGCCCTGCGGCGGCGACTCAATAGACTTCTACACTTACGCAAGTATCCAAACAGGCTCGCACTTATTGTGGCGATACGATATGTACGATGGTATGAACAACATTTCAATATACTATTGATATTGAATATGCCCAGCATTGAATTGCATTGCGTAGAACGTTGTTCATTCTGCTGCATATTGATCATGGACGAGGTTTGTCGGAGTAATCGTGGTAACAAAAAAGCTCATGGCCATCATCTCCTCGACGTAAGGCAACCAGGTGATTTTTCGAAAACGGACGTGTGTATGGTAACATTCCCAGGTCATTGTGGGTACACTTGTGCCATCGTGTGTCAACGGAAACTACAAATTTCACGATCTGGTATCACATCGTGATAGAATTTCCATCAAGCTGACATTCTGGAATGCTCGGGAATGAAATTATTTCAGTCCTGTGAAAAAATGAGATCGAACGGTCATCTTACGAGGTCGAATTGAATTAAGGCCAAGCAGTCATCGAAGATACCCAAAGGTCCATCACAAGACGGAGAAGTTTATTTTTTGGGCATGACTGGCAGTAGCCTTACGTAGCGCCAGTACATGACATCATGATGACGTCGGCATTTCCAACCAAAATTTTGAATGTGTGACTTTCGTACAAATCTACGTATTGTGCCAGCACACGAATCTTGGCGAGTCGGAGTGTCTTTCCCTACTTGAACTTTCACGATTTCTCACTCCAACAAACATCATATCATAAATTGACAACCTGTCTATCAAAACTCAAAAACGCAAACCAAACCCAAACAACCAAACAGCCAAACAAACATGTTCTCTACTCGATCTCCTTTTGCTTCTCTTCTCCTCGTCGCCGTCTCATTCATGATGGTCGAACAAGGACAAGCTCTCATCAGTGTTGACACCTCGGTGCGCACTGTTGGGACTCCCAAGCTCAGCGGTCAAGGAAATGCCTTTCAACGTCCAGAAAAGGTCAATCCTGATACAAAACAACCTCAGGAAACCTTCGATACTGACGCCTACCGTCAAGCCATGACAGAATTGGTCTACCAACGCTCCATTCAGAGATTTTCATAGGCAGGAATGAATTGGTGGTATCCACCAGCACCATTGCTACTACCATTGCTACCATTTTTGCACCCACAATAGGCGAAACAGCACCATATAGACTCATAGACAAAGCACACACAAAAACCTAGAAGAATTATTTTCCTTTTTACAACAATCCATTGCCATCGATTGATTCCCAGTGCCTTTGTTTCTCCTTCTCCGTTTCGCAGAGCTTTTGATTTTCTTGTTCGCTTTCGACTTTTCACTTCTGCAAATTCTCAAATCCCCAATCAGATAATCGGAATTCTTGATAGTCGGAAGAGTCAAAAAAAGGACGGACCTCGTAAACTTCCGCTGTTCGTCTGTCCGGAAGTTTTGTGACGTCATCCTGAAGATTAAAATTGTCATCATAATACGCATACCGATACCGGTATCATCAGCAATCTGGTGATTGTCTTCTTGGCACATCTACGACCACATTTGGCAAGGCATGACTTTCCCCATTATCATGATGATGGAGAAATGGAAACAGCTCGAATGTCTGGAAAATTGTCAATGTTGCTCTGTTCCCTTTCTGGATGAATGAATCCTCGTCTTCATCCTCAACGAATCATCATGTAGCTCCATGACGACGACAACGACGACGACGACGACCTTGAACATACCACAACTGGCGCAGCGCAGCATGTTTCCATCAAGTTTCCCTCTCTTGGCAAACCTTGCGATCATAGATGATGCAAGTCTTGTACGAATATACCAAAACTATTTCAAATATCCAAAGAGGCTACTACTATATTACTGTATCAGCACGCGACATTCCATGATGAATTGCCCAATTTGTCACGCCAAAATGGTCCATTTCGGGCAAACATTCGACTGTGGACCACGATCTGATAACGGTACTACGAGGAAGCAAACGATGTCGCGACAAGCTGGACCAGTCCAGATGCACTGGGAGCATTTGCACAGGTCTTGGAGCTGGTTGGCAAGAATGGAGATATGGATTCCCATGTTTCTTCAAATGCAGTTGCGGTGCACGACGTATTGAAGGGATTGATACAGGTTTATGATTTCCAAGAGAGTCCTACTAGGCATTGATGCGGTGGTGATTCGCAAAAGACAGAGCATAAGGTGGGACACCCACAAACACAGGCAGGGGCAATTGTGATCATACGGGTGGTGCCAAATAAAAAATCGTTGATCTATCATCTACCAATTATCGCACGCTTTGAGCAAAGCAATGCCTCGTTCGTCCAATAAGCTGCCGAATCACGAATGAACCGAGACGAGCAACCAGAATCCAAAATGAAATTGCGTGATTGATGGTCGTACAGGACCGACTAGAACTAGACCGTGTTACTATGGTCCTCGATTTATTCAAACCCGGACCGCAAAATACGCTCTGCAATCCCAAATCATAGTTCAATAATGGATAGCAGTTTTCGAAAACACCTCCTCTCGTCAAATGTGTACTGTTGGTGGGTAGTATTTAAAAGTTCGTGCATGTAGGTATACTAGAAACCAACTAGACATATTTTTAGACTCGTTATGACGATACATGCAACTGGTATGATGCGATATACCCATACTGGTAACTGAACATTGGGTTGCTGAAACGAAACAACAAGACAGACATGGTACCGGTATATGGTATGTAATGTAGCGCATTTGGCGTCTTGACTCATCCGAACGCTTGCACACGCGATGGAAGGTATAATACCGCGACAAATGAATAAAAAGCAAGAATAAATATACAAAGATACTGCATGAAGGAATGACCTGCCGTAGAATCCGCGACATTGGTACTTTGTGTTTATACCGGTAGTCTTCTCCCCAAGATTGTTTTCGAATGATGTACGATTTCTTGAGAAGGGTTATTGTCTTATTGTTCCGCTCATCACACAAAACATTTGAGTAAAGATCCAATGTCCACAAGAGCTTTCACTCAGATTTTGACCAACCGATCAATATCCAAGCAACTTTATACCACCAATAAGCGATTCTTTCAATCCACAACCATCACCAAAATGAGCACCGAAAAGCCAAAGCCAATGATTTTTGCCATTATGCGCAATGGACATGAAGTTATCCGAGGGGATTCTTTGGATGTCAAAGAAAAGTTGGAGGCAGGAGATGTCGACGCCGCCAAGAAGCTTTGGAGTGACATGAGAAAGTAAGTTATCATCTATGGAGCTCAATCATTGACGACCACACGAACACACAATCACTGATTGATTGATGACTCACACACATATATTCTGTCGTCCAACAGATGGGAGACCATTCATGCACAAATGGAAGAGGGAAGCAGCAAAGGAGCATCCACGCCCAAGGGTTTCTTTCATATTCTAGATGAAAAGTGCGAAAATATTGCTACGGAAAAGGGTCTCTTCTCGGCGCATGAAGAACTGGAATCCAAGGCTGCCGAAGTGGAGACTTTGTTGGGAGAAAATGATCCCGACAAGGCATTGGCAGCTTTTAATGAATTTGCCAAATTTAATGAAGATCACTTGAAGCATGAAGAAGACATCATGATGCCACAAGTTATGAAGATGACCAAGAGCGGAGTGCCCATGAAGAAAGTGTAAGTGTTGGCGACTTTTGTGAATATACTGATTGACAATTACCATGGCCGTCAGTTCTAATCACGGGATGTCTTTTCATATCTTATATAGCATGATGGAAGAGATTCTTCCCATGGTAGGTGATGAAGAAGAGTTTTTCTTTTCCCATGCCTGTTCCACTTTGGAAAAGCATAGTGGTGACATGCCAAGAGCTCGTGTCTTTGTCCATGCCCTATGGGCTGCCTCGACCCCTGACGAATGGGCCAAACGTTCCGAAATTGCCAAGGGTGCTCTCTCCGAACCTGCCTGGAGTGAAATTGAAGGATTGACTTCGTCATAAAAAGAGTGACTGCAGGAAGCGTCGTCTTCTGCCTTTATTGGTGTGTTATATCCTTTGTTTTGTAAGGCAGCAACACGAAGACGACAACGGAACAAAAACTTTCTAAAAAGATGATTAGACTGAAAACTCAACTATGACACAATGAAATTGCACATTCGATATTCTTTCTATGCTTTCTTTTTCGCCATCCCGCTGTATAGCCAATGAATCATATTCGAAACGTTGACAAGGCCGTATCAGATCTCGATTCGCCATGCCACAAATATCCAATCACCTGTTCCATCACTACTTCCGATCCACATTGAAACCGACAATCTTCTCGAAACCTGTCAGAGTTGGCCTCCTCGGATTGATTCTTCTTTTCTCTTGTTGTTGTTCGCATCTTCCAGAGCGCCAACTCGATCGTGGAAGTCATTTCCAAGCGCAAACAGTATCCTACAGTCCCAAAAAAGCATGTATTGACATGGTTGCGTCGACTATCCACACTACTGTCATGATGATGCAGCGCTTCAAGGCACATTTGCAACTTGGACCTCCACTTATCATTGTTGCTGCTGCTTTCAGTAGTACTAGTAGTACTAGTATTAGTCGTACTACATGATGGGAGACGATTGCACATCCGATCGACAATGGCACGTTCCAGTACTGTCTGGATCAATGGAACAGCTTGACTGGATGTATTTAACAATAGATAATCCATCATGGTCATTTCAAAGCTGTCCTTGAGTTCCAGAGTATCGACTGGATACCGTTGCAAGAGACTATTCAATATTTGGACACTTGGATGGCAACCGGTCGCCAAAATATGAAAGGGTGTCATTTGAAAGGCATCTTGAAGATTTTCGAGGACGTCGTCGTCGACAGAGTCAAGTGCTTGAAGCACACTGGATACAGTAGCAGTAGAGGCGTGATAGCATGCGTCGTGGATTGGGAGACTGGTAAATCTTTCTTGCAACAAGCACGATGCATGGTCGCCCTTAAGCAGAGCACAGCCAGCAAAAATGGTAGTTAAAATGTTGGTAGAAGGTGGGAGTGATACATTGACCAAGGACTTGCAGCCATAAAAACAATTATTGCCAATTTTCAGGCTAGTGCGTTTGGGAAACTCTACCGTTCGGAGATTGGTACAGTCTGAGAATGCCTTTAGACATAACTCGTCGAGGCTGAGTGGCAAGGCAATGGCAAATAGTGCCGTACAATTGGTAAAGGCGCATTGGCCAATCGAATTGAGACCCTCTTGAAGCTGCACATTGGCCAAGGAAGTGCAGTAGCCAAAGGCAAAAAATTCAATCGTTTCCACAGTCTTTGGAAGGCCGATATTGACCAACGAGCTGCACCATCCAAACGCCCGTTCTCCAACGGTCTTGAGTCCTTCTTGCAGATGAACGTCCATCAAAGACTTGCATCCTGCAAATGCCTCGCATCCAATGAGTTCCACAGTCGATGGCACCGACACTGTTTTCAACGATTCGCACCAACAAAAGGCTTCCACACCAATCGCTCGCAAACCCATGGGGAGGTTGACTTTGGTCAAAGACTCGCAGCTCAAAAAGGCACCACGCTCGAGAGTCATTGTCTTTTTGTTATGGTCGTGTTGTGAAAAATGCACATTGACCAACGAGGTACAACCCGAAAAGGCAAACCAACCAATGCTTTCCAGTGTATTTGGTAGTTTCAATAACGTCATGGTGGTGGTGGTGGTGGTGGTGGTATTCGAATCACCATCCATAATTGTATTACTAGTAGTAGTAGTAGTACTAGTAGTACTAGTAGTAGTAGTAGTAGTACTACCCACCAATGACTTGCAGCCTTCAAAGGCTCCACGTTCAATCGTCACCAAGCCATCGTACAATTCCACATTCACCAAAGCTGTGCATCCTTTAAAAGCAAACTGATGAATGTGTTTGACAGTCTTTGGAATGCTCACCGAAACCAAACATTGACAATTTTGAAACAAAAAGTCGTGTATTTGACGGACGGATGGATGAATCGTCGCATGGGTAATGCCATTGGGTATTGCCTTTTTGTGGTGACGATTCCGTCGCTTATTTCCCTTGTACACAAAGACTGCAGGAGGAGGAGGAGGAGGAGCTACTACTACTTGAGCGCTTCCGCCTTCTTCTTCTTCTTCTTCAATAATGACATTGTCATCCGTGCTACCGCCTTCATAATCCCTTGGTTTTTGGTTCCGCAGTTTGATGAGGTTGCGTAACTTCATCTTGTTGCGTTACGCACCACCATTAGGCTTATCGTGAGGGAAAGAAGAGAATACTGTGCTATACTACAGTAGTAATTGACTTCAGCGTTGACAGCAGTATACAGTAATAGGTACCGGAATATTGTAGTATATTCAATATATTAGCGTAGTGTTCGCTTCAAAATGCTGCGAAAATTCGGGCGAAGTTCGCTTGCATGCGCGTGCCGGTAACAGATCAACGAGCGACTAAATCTGTCCATCGACGACGATACGATCACGATGATGGCGACGCAATATAAAAGATCGAGTGAGTCTTGGATGACGTCGACACGATGTATTTTAAAAAAATATTAAAAAAATACGAATCCTCATCGTTCTCGTTTGGGAAACGCCCTTGTCCTCTGCACCGGTACCGGTAGCAATATAACGAAAGCACGCATTTGCAAACATAACAACAACAAGAATCAACCATGTGTCTACCAACAGAAGAAATCCCAAAGCAGCAGCAGCAGCAGCAGCAGAAGTCCAAGAAATTTGAACTAAAAGCGTGGCAAGAGGGTGGCATTTCATCCTTTGACCAAACCTGCTACGCTGATTATTGGGACGACGAAACGATTGTCCCATCCATTCCTATTTCTTCTTCTGGCGATACGATGGATCCCTTTGACTTTGGTCATCGCATGGCGCTAGGGAAATGTTTGATCAGGAACACCGCTGGATCCAAATCTAATTGTTGGGGAGAAAAGAACTATTCTGAAAAACATTGGTATTGGGCCTATTTGGCACAGTTGGACTGGCAATGGAGGACTGGACGATTGTCCTACTCTGGTGGATCTACAATTGCACCCAAAACTACCACCAATCTTCCTACTACCATAATATCGACCGCAGCATGGTATGGAAACATGAATGCCAATTTTTCTGTTGCCGCCTATATGGGAGCCATGAAGGCAAATCTCGTTCCTTCTATCAAATTGGATACCTGGCGTAAAAATATTGAAGAGGATCCTGGATTCCAAATTTGCGTCGAGGTTTGGTATGAGTTTTGGATTGGACCTCATGCCAAGTATCTAACTACCATGGAAAGCAGCGCCGCCGCTAGTCAGGAAGAGCAGGATGCCGAAACAAAAGAAACCTTGGAACGAGAAGCGCTCATCGAAGTGTACCGAGCACTTTGGGAAGCCCATACGGATATCATTCATGCTGGTGTCGAACATAATCGGCAAGAAGAAGCCTTGTTACCAGAACCGGAACGTAAGTTTGCCATGGGATGGTGCCACATGGTCGAACTCTTTGCGGCCATGGGATACACCCTCTTGTCGTTGGAGGCCCTCATGGTAAATGGGGCAGGTTACCTTCCGTCGCAAGTCTTGCTGGACGAATCAGTGTTGGAGCATTTGAAGAAAAACAAACCCGATGAATACCAGCAAACCATGCAAGTGATGGATCTGTACAATGCCACGTCACTCCAATTGGATTCCATGTGCGGATTCTTTCGACGATTGACACGATGGGAATGGGAACGTCAGCAAATGCCCATTACCTTGAAGATATTGAATAAGGGCGCGGTAGTCCCCAAGACGAAATTGCTGCTACGCATCTTGACCAAGATTATAATCCCACATCCTACCAAGAGTACCTTGATGGAACGGAGCCTCTTTGCAGCGGCAGCAGCAGTTGCCACTGGAGCTTTGTTTATGAAACAATCGGCAAAGTAAGAGACGAGTGATTGCTTATTCAGGACTAGAGGGGAACAATTATTATTTTAATATATATAATATATAAATACATTTTTGCAAAAGGTTTGCAGTTTGTCAATCAATGCCGCCATTTTCGTTCGTGACCATCTTTCATTTGGGGTTCCAAAAATCCACGAAAGGTAATAGTACTACTATTACTATTGTTGTTGCTGTTGTTGTTGTTGTTGTCCAGAATCCAACGAGCTCCATATCCTTCCAGCACTCGAATTTCAAGGGCCACTGCTCCATCCTGCAGGCCCACAAACCGATGCCGATTGATCCAAATGGCATCTGCCAAGAGTTTCTGAAGAATGGCCTCGGTTTGTTCGTTCTGCACCTCGGCGGGTCCAGTCGCCGTTCCAAAGTAGGATAAGGCTTGCCCCGCCCGATGCGCATGCTTGGATCGAGCCCGGGCCGCGACCGTCAATTTGGATCGATTCGGTTTGTGAATCGCACGACAAGCTTGCAACAATCGGTGCCGTGATGGAATCATCTTGGAATCATCCTCATCATCATCATCATCATCATCATCATTATCATTGTGACTCCCAATGGTGTGTCGCATACCCAACAATCGAAGAATGGAAAATGAGTCTACTTGCTGAAACCAGGGACCAAGTTCATGGACCGAACATGGTGGCGGAGTACACGATAGAGCCCAGTTTGTGGCAGTGTCTAGTTCTTCCAAATTAATTTGTTCGGCAGGTACCAACAATGGGATCGGTGATGATGAGGATGATTCCTCCTGTTTCGTTGTCGTTGTCACGGTTGCCTTTGATTGTTGTTGTTGTTGTTGTTGTTGTTGTTGTTGTTGTATCCGTTGATTCCATCGAAACAAGCGTAATGCCAATTCCTTGTAGAGTGGTCGTTGTGGGACGCCTTTTATCAGAAAATCTTCCTTCGTATTTTCGTTGTTTATCAGATGAGTTTCCATCCTGTGACAATCCTCCTCCTCCTCGTCGTCGCCACCAGTCGCATCATCGTCCAAAAATAAGAGCTCTTGCACAAGCCAACGAGGAAGATTGGACGAGTCCGTGTTTTTCGATAAGACCAGAGTTCTCTCTGTTTCTGATATCCAACCATCAACCGAATTGTCGAGCTTTGAGAGTTTGGTCGATGACGATGATGCGTCATCTTCTTTGAGTTGTGATGATGGGTCATCATTTGTATGTTTGTTATTGTCATTGTTATTGTGATTGCCCATAACCAACAAAGCAAACTGATGAAACAGACTCATCCTGCTGCTGCTAATGCCCATTGTTGTTGCTGATAGTATGAAGATACTGCTCTTGGCAAAGTAATGTAGCAGATTGTGCATCCCTCCAATAAGGACAATAATGATATAGAACAATAATAATTGCCATTCGGAATAAGTGTGGAGCTGCGACGACGTTGCAGATTTTGAGATTAGTTGAAGAATAATGCGGCAGTAGTAGTTGGTAGGCACGTTTGGACATGTATCAGATACTGTATGATGTACAGTGTGAGTTATTTGCGCGATGTTCATTGCGCGCGCTATCGAAATAATGCGGATGACCGCGCTTTCATTCGCCCGCCAAAATGGAAACTGTTTTAGTCCGAAACAACACCGTTCCTCGCATCATCACCACAATAATACCGGTATGTATGCAAGATAGCTATAGACCGCATTCGACTCACAAATATTGCAATGGGTAGCTTCAGTCACAAAGAATAGTAACAACAGCGATGAAGCGAGCGATTCTTCTATGGACCCTCTTTGACTTTGTTTCAAAAGCAGATGGTCTTGTAACGATGATCCCTGGTGATTCCATCACTACTATTATGACTTCTTCTTCTCCTGCCAAACACTCAATACCAATAATACTGTCGATGACACCGGGGACAACATCACCAACGATTGAGGAAGAGAAAACAGCACTGGATTACTTCGATGATATGCAGGATGATCGAATTGATAGAGCCGATCAGATCCCGATTGATCTTTCTGTCTTTGAGGATCACCTTATTGACGTCGAGAAGTTACCGCCCATTGTTGAATTGGAGTACCTACAAGACTTATATGCTTCTTCAGAAAGTGCAAATCCTGCCATGAGATACTTACAAGAAGAACGTCTACGGTTCTTTCAAAAAGTCCAATTGCGAGGAGGATGCTGTTTGGTGAAGTTCGATTCGAATAGCCAATATACGTCTACTCTCAGAGGCATGTGGTCTTGTATGGAAGCATTCTACAGAAAACTGGATGCCGCAACGAATGAAACGAATGTCGGTACTGGCACAAGTGCTGGCGATACCAACAATGATTCGTCAGACGAGCCTCTCTTGATGCGACAGCACTTGGTTCGGCCCGATCAGTCATCGGATGCAGGCGGCTACGACTTTGTTCAAACTTACTTGGATTCAGAAACCAAGAGCGTCATGCCAACTACCATACAAGACTCCCTTGGGTGTAATCACCCTGCAGCAAGTGCAGTCGAAGATTCCTTTCATGCTCTCTCGGACTTGTCCAAAATGTTTGCAATCATCTTGGCGTCTGGAGGATTGCAACGACCAATCCACGAAATGAAATCACTGTTGAATGGATACATCCTCGATGACTTTGGATGCTGCAATCATCGTCTCTGCCAGTATCGGCCACTGGATGGGACCAATACTACTAGTAACGACCATGCCACAAAGGAATCATCATCTCCTCTGCTCCGTTCGCATACCGACTGGAGTCTGGTCACTTGCATCCCCGTCAGTCCGACACCAGGACTTTTGATCTTTGATCCACTCCACCAAAAGTGGCTGGCCCCGGATGCAGTTGTCAATGATGCTTTATTGGCACATGAGGATGAGGGGCAAAATCATTCGCAGTATTGTCTCATGATGACAGGAAAGGCAATGGACATGCTACTGGGAATAGATGGCGGTATGGCCTGCATCCATCAAGTGGTCCCGAGGGTGCACCAGCATCAGAGCTTATTGGAACAACAACAAGCACCAAAGCAACGACGTATTAGCGCCCCGTTTTTCTTGCGGCCAAAAGAGTCGGTATCGGTACAGATCAACGAACAATGCAATAGAAAAACTTGTACAAGTGAAGAAGTGGCACTTGCCATGCTTCATGGCGTCTACTGTAAACTTGGCGCATGAACAACGTGGATATACATATATAGAATATAAGTAGTGTGGGTGCGATTGTGTTTTGCCGTGTAAATTTTGTGAACGGCGTTATTTGCGATCATCAGGTTGGAGTGCAAGCATTATAAAATATTGAATAAATGCCCTAGGTACATGAAAACCGTTTCCTGGTCAGAGAATACAAATCAATACATTTCGTGTAGACCTGGTACAAACTCTACGTAGTCAAATTAGTCAAACTGATTTACAGGTCCAGATCTATATCTGCTGTTCAGAGGCATTATCGATAATACGAGGGCCCACAATTGAATGCAATAGATTTGAAAACACTTTCCTATGTGTGAATAATTGGTTGGACCACTTCTTGATAATTGATGTTGTGTTTCCCATCCCTGTAGCAAATATACTGGATATACGTGAGAGAAACTAAAAAAGCTCTATGTTTGAACGTCTGTACCTGTAGGAAAATGGCTTCCAACAACACTTTCCCCACATATACTCCTATTGGACATCTTCTTATGACTTCCAACTATGTGTTTAGGTGTTTGGTGGCCAAACTTGGAGAGTTGTATTTAGAGGTTGTAGGTACAGTACTATTTTGGAGTAGTCAGTGTAGTCGATTTCACGTACATTTTTTTACTAGGTACCGGTATACTGGATCTACGAATGTATTGATTTGTATGTGTATTGTCTGACCAGGAAACGGTTAAAATCATGGATAATCCGTCGACGAATGTAGTACACGTGTACTGACGGCTCCTGCTAGTCGAATGTCAGTACGCATATCCGCAACAACATCGAGTCAAGATCTCGTCTTATCTTTATCGCACACGTTGGATCAAAATATTGACCAATATCGACCTTATGGTATACAATTCAATTCATCATGTGCCGAACCACCGGTATTTCAGAATTGAGCGGCCAGAAAATTCTAGTAGGAATAGTCACTTTACTGTTGTTACTGGGAGATTGTAGATCTGCCCCCTTCAACGATGATGTTGGCGTCATTATGGCAATAAACGATGACCTCGACCTCAGCACCGGCGCATTCACAACAACAAGACATGGACGACGAGACCTGGTGGACAATGCCACTACTCCATTATTAATGGTTACAAATCACAGTCATTGTAGTTCTGTGGGCACAGAACCGTCGACTCCTCTTCAACGCCAGTTTTTGGCCTTGTCGGCACCAGAACAACGAGAGTTGTGTTTTCACAATGCCACTCATGTGTACGCCGAGTTTAGCAAGATGGAAGGTTGTGGCAATAATATGCAAAACATTACCACTTGCACCTGGAGATTGCAATGCTCGTATTACGATAGTGCCGAGGTTTGCGGTCTTTCCATTGACCAAGGGCTAGCCGAGTACAGTGAAAACTGTTTAGTGTTGGCATCGGCGCTGTCCACCGAGGGAACGACGTATGACTGGCTCTCGGAGGATTACTGTGACCTGGATGGCGAGCGGACAAACGTTACTACTGGACAAACGACGGGGACGACGATGCCTAGTACTGCGCCAACTGCGAAACCTTCCATCATGCAGTTAGACGACGCCCCCGAAGGTGGCAACGACGGGAGACCACCACAAGGTGAAGAGGAATCTAGTACTGATAGCAGTAGCTCCAGAAGTCGCAAACACGGTGTCATGGTCAGAATCGTGCTGGTCCTCAGCGCATGCCTACTATGGTAAACGTGTAATGACTTGGATTTTAACTAGAATAATGATGAAGGCAAAGAGTGCCCAGTTTCGTCATTGACATCATAATATTATTAACTAATCATAATTATTCAATGATGTTACAAGATTCCCGAAAATGGATAATGCAGTATCGGCCTTGCTTTCGTCTTCATTCCACAAGTATTGAGCGACGTTGCCAATCACTACTTCTGCTCCGCAATGAAATCGACAGAGTTGACGATAGTCATTCCTGCCTTGCATCTCTTCTTTCTCCACTGTCATCATTCTCATCTTCCATAGTGCCTCTTCGAATAAAGATGTCGATTCTAGTCTTATACAGTGTCCCACATCGCCAAAGAAAGAGTCATGGACATATTTGCATCGAGTTTCAATATCATAATCACTCTGGATCGACTCCAAGCATCCCAACAAGCTCGACACCCATGTGTGTCCTACACCCCAAGATGACAGTTTGTCCACGATTGTCCGTTGGAGTACCAGTTGGATCAATGGAATCACTTTTGCGGAAGACGAATGCATCATCAAGTAGTCTAGCATGGTCCTGCCAGTCTTGTCGCTGTATTCCAAAATCTCGGTTGGATAGTTATCCAACAAACATCTCATCATTTCAAATCTGGGATGGGCCGAGGTGGCCACAATGTGAAAGGCCGTCAAACCAAACTGGTCCTTGAGGAGTTTGGGATCATCACCATGGGAATCTAGCGCCAGAATTAAATCGTACACCGTGCCGACGGATGCATAATAACAGGCTCTGTGCACAGGAAAGTATTCAAATCGTTCTTGTAGACGCAGAGCCTGATGTTCTGGTAACATTTCGCATCCCGCAAAGACTTGCTTTGGACATGAGGCATGGACCGAGGCTGGAAGGGAGACATTCACTAACGAATTGCAATGCGCAAAGCAATCTTCCCCAAACCAGGCACTAAAGTCGCTTGGAAATTCCACACCAACAAGACTGGTACAACCCAAAAAGGCTCGGAATCCAATCTTCTCCAGGCTTGATGGCAACGCAATGGCACTCAATGCGGAACAACTTGCAAAGGCAGTGGACTCGATGGACTTGAGGCCTTCTTCCAGATCCACTTGACCAAGGGCCGAACAGTATTGAAAGGCACCATCTTCAATGGCGTGCACTGTTGGCGGTATGGATACGGCGCGGAGGCTCTTGCATTGACAAAAGGCCGAGTTTCCAATGTGTTTCAGGCCCAATGGGAGTTTGATTTCCAGTAACCACCGGCACGCTGAGAATGCCGCACGACCAATACTCTGTAGTCCTTGGTGAAATTGTACATGCTGGAGAGAAATACAGTTGAAGAAGGCATGACCACCAATCGTCGTCACCGTCTTTGGGATCACAAATATTGTGCGGCGGTCATTATTACTACTATCCTTGTTTTGTTGCAATACACCTGTACTAGTAGTCCCCAACAGTGACCGGCACGAACGAAAGGCTGCATATTCAATCGTTTCCAAACCATTGTACAAATCCAGAAGAACTAGAGAACTGCATTCTTCAAAGGCAGACTGACGAATGGTCTTTACTCTTGGTGGTATGGCAATGCTGTAGAGAGATTCAGAGTTAAAGAAGGCTTCTTTTCCAATTTTTCGCACTGACGAGTGAATGATAGCATGGGTGAAATCGTTGGGATAGTGCTTCTTGGATTGTCCCTTATAAACAAAGATAATGTCCTTCTCCTCTTCTTTCTCAGCCCTTTGATTGTTCCCTTCAGTCTTGCTGCTGCTGCTGCTCCTGCTTGGTTTACGTTTGGATTTGGAAATGGAATTCCAGAATTTCATCCTGGCAGTCTGCCGATCACTAGACATTTAATGTTGGTGATTGATTCAGGAAAACAATGCGATGTCGTATTACTTTTAGTGTTTGCAATACAGTAGGGGAACCATTGCACTTGTGTATCTTATTACCCGCCGGAGATGCTGATAGATTGATGATGATGAGACGAGATGAGACACGTCTCGTGAGAATCAGATTTCGACAAAAAATAAAAATGAGATTCAGGGGGCGGGTCATAGTAGTCATTACAAAAGCAAGAGCCTTTTTCTGTCTTGATAAAAGGGAAGAAATATGTACAGTATGATATCACACCTGAATGATCATCACAGTAGTATAACATCAAATGATGGAACCACACTGTGCTGTGTATCGGTTACTTCTTTTTTAATGATGTCTTGATTTGACATCTACTTGTGGCTTTCCATCCCTCCTTGCTTCAATTGGTGCTTGGTTCCATTTCTTGGCTTCTTGGCTGTTTGCAGACTTGCTTGCTGGCCTGCCTGGTTCCATTTATTGGCTCCTTTGCAGGCTTATTCCTCCTTTTCCTGACCGTTCGAAAGCAATGGGCCAGTTTACTCTTGATTTCATCTTCCTTCACCTTATGCCAGCGGTCCCCCTTTTCGTCTCGTCTGAGGAATCGGATGCCTCGAGACCGTAGAATTTTAATCCACTCATGGATGAATAGAGTTTTTTCTGGTTTACTTAAGCTGCTGTGGTGGTAGAAATAGATCTCGACTTCCATGCGAAGAATCACATTTCCGGGATGACTATGGTTTCCCGTGCCTCTTCCAAACAAAATGTCAATGTTTGTTGGAGCTGTTGCAGTTGTCGCTATCAAGTGGTCCACTACATCTCGTGGGTTTCCTCTAGAGTAGTTTTGGGTCCAAGTTCCCGTCTCCTGATTGGCAACGTCTACAGAACGCAGATAATTCGACATCGTGAGGTGCATGATAGATATCACAATCAGAATGCAGGCACTATAGTTTTTTCTTCTTCTTGTTCTTTTTTTGTTTGGCTCCTCCTCCTCGCTCAGCATCAAACACATCAGATTTTCTTACCATTTGCAGCAGCCGTCCACTCATCTGAATGTGGAGTGATAGACTCAATGGAATCCAAAAGATTCCAGCTCTCCTCGGTCATGTTGCTGTTTCAAGTGTGTGTGTGTGTGACAACTGAAGCATAATATATATACAACGAGAAGACAAAAATATCGAAAATGTGGGGAGAAAACATTTTTATCGTGTCGTCGTCGGTCCGGCGGTCGCACATCCGAAAAATAAAATGTTTTGTCCATTGAGTCGACTGAGTCGAACCGTTGATGACACGATGCGACAAGAAAATGTATAAATACCTATACTAAATAAATATATTGTATGGATAGCATTATTTCTGATATAACGGAACACCGCAATCCCGTCATCTATCATTTTCACCACGTGCACACCAGATACTGTACCTACAGTATGCTACTGTAGTAGGGAAAAGAAGACGGGCCACTTTGCTATTGTAATGTTGCATCATGAGAGGCAGACAAAACAATATATTATCAAAACTTTGGATTCCCATTATAATTATTGACTATTCCATAGTAAGAGTTACAAATGTACTAGTCTCATAATTCGTTCCAATCGTACTTCGTTTTGTTTGTTGATTTTTCCAGCATGTCCCTCGATGGCCCACAAGGTGGCAGCTGCCGCTGATAAAAAGTGCCAAATGGAGTGAAGTATAGCATAGGCTTGCGGAGTGTTGGGCGTTGCCAAACATGCAATACCAGAGAGACCAATGGCCCAAACCCTTTTGGAAGGCAAGCCACAGGTATCCATGTAAAAGCAACCGGCGGCCAGTGCTATTCCATGATCCACATACGCTAGGGTCTCTGTGACTGCATTCACGCCAATTATTGCCTGTACCGAATGGTAGATCGAGCTCATGAGACCCGCCGTCAACATCCACGCTCCCAATGGTCGAAACTTTCCAACCTGACTACCACTGCTCCTGCTGAAGGACAACAACCATCCTCCCGACAAAAAGTACCAAACATTGCTGGATAAAAAGCCACTGACCACCCATCGATAGAGAGAAGGAGTACTACTACTACTGGCAGCTCCAATGTCTTGAATCGACACCACGGGCCACCAGTGTGGCATGGACGGACATGTGCCTTGGGCCACACAGTACAATGGAATTGCCGCCAATAGCAACGGAAAGGCCCACCACACTTGTCGCACTGCTTGGGCAATGTTGGAGATTGGAAATTGAAGCTTTATTGAGGAAGGAAGTTGTACGGAAGAAAAACTTGGCAAAGAAGAAGTCATCCGACTTGGTAAAGAAGGAAACTTCCGTGTCCTACTGGTGGTTGGCAACGCTTTCGGTTGAATCGTATTCGACGATGCTAAGCGAGAATTGATTGGTGCTTTGGCAGCAGGTGAATTGAATGCTGTTACGCTCGTCTGACTATGCCATATTGCTGCTAGAAAGAATAGAATTTGGAAAAGTGCATTGTATATCCTCGTCATTTTTGGTTTTGCGCCGGTAAAATAGTTTATTTTGAATGAAAGTTCAAGTTCGTTGTTTTCTCATTTTGTTACGTGAATTTTGAGAAATTCGAAGGAGATTTGCACAATGTCTTCAGCTCTGAATATGATATATACGCTGCTTACGTCATGAGGACGTGGCGGAAGGTACAACGTCGCTTTCTTTTATTCGGACATGTCGATTGATTCAGTCCACAATGACAAACAGGAATTGGATCCCGGATGAAATTGCAGATTGATTCTCATTCGAGATCAAGATATTATCAACGACTCCCTCGCGACTCCGACATTTATATCCGCCAAGATCAGACACATCGGTGCTTTGGGTCGGGAATGGCACACTCTCTTCCCACACTTCGTTATAGGCATCGTATCAAGAGGGACTTCATTCTTCATTCATGGGGAAAACAAATAATAATAAAGGACCGAGAGATCGTCAGCACCCAGACGAGTCTGCCTTCTTGCTTGAGGATATTGAAGAACAAGAAGGCCAACAAGTCAAAGTAGCAGCACAAGCACCACCATTACCGACCCATCGAAAAGTAGTTTCCTTGTTTGCTGGAAGCAATCCACACCAAAGACGAACCCGTCCGCCTCGTGGTGGTGGTCGTGGTGGTGCACATCATAGAAGCTTATCCTCGTTTAGCGACATGTATCATGCGGTACGAGACTATCCAATGGGCGAAGACATGCGTCAAGTGGGAGATGACATCAAGTCTGGCTTTGTTCACAACATGCGAGAATTGGATCAGGGAAAGAATCTGTTTCTGGACATGTCCATGACTCGATCCCTCAGTGTCTTGCCCGAGGATATTTCCGATTTTGCCTTTGAACTGACAACTCCAAGACACAAGGCAGAGGAAGAATACGAACAAGAAGAGGAAGACGAAATAACGAAAACACTTCCACCAACCACACTGTTTCACTATCTCGGACTCTTTCTCGCCGTCTTTGCCGTGTCCAGCAAAGCCACTTGCTTTCACATGTTGGATGACGTGGAAGCACCACTCAAACAGTATTGGAAAATGACTGCCACCTCTGTCTTTCTCCTTCCATTTGCCGTCCACCTATATCGCAACGAAGGATTGCCACAATTGTCCCTGTGGCAATGGATTACATTCATGGCGGCCATTGTCTGTTACAGTGTCCAGGCGGTCCTCTTTGTCAAGGCATTGGAATATACCACGGTGGGAAATGCTTGCATTTATGCCAACTCACAAGCTCTTATACTAATCCTGGGCAAGGGTTGTGTCGGCGATCCCATTCATTGGCTCGAAGGGTTGGGAGTCTTTATTGCCTTTTCCGGGGCCGTTCTGTGTACCCTGGATGCGGAATCCCAATCGGAAGTAGATAATTTGGATGGTACCGATGGTACTTTTGGAGATGCCTTGGCATTTCTAAGTGCCATTGCGGGTGTCTCCTACTTGACCTTTGCCAAATCAGTTCGGTCGGGAATGTCGGTCACTGTCTTTGTGTTTGGTGTCATGTTCTTTGGGCAACTATTTGTGCTACTCTTTATGCAGCTGACATCGAGTAGTCTAGAGTACAACTTTGACATGGACGATGGAGTCTTTGGTTGGCTCAATGAGCATAGATTGCCAATCATGATTTACTTGGTGTTGGTGGTCAATTCGGTTGGAACGATGGGATTTGTACGAGGTAAGGAAGAAACTCGGATTGATTATAATTGCAGCATGATGTACTTGTGCTTGTACTCACCAGCTCTTTTCACTATATGATGATTTAGCAATGGAGCATTTCGATACTCTTCTGATTGCGGTCGCCACATTGATGGAACCACTCATGGCGTCACTTATTGCCTTTGTGTTCCATGCCGGTTTGTTGGTAAGTAATGACATTGTTCATACGATTACTATTTGTACGCTTGCATTTGCACTTGACTCACATTTGTTGTTGTTATCATTCTTTCTACTATTATTATTATGCTGCTAGCCTGGACCACTTGGCTGGGTGGGAAATCTATTGGTTGTCATTGGAACGTTGGGCGTGGTCTATCCATCCATTGGCAAGGGCGATGGAGCCATGGCTCACTAGTATCAATAATAAGTGAATGGAGTTTAATCGAAACAATTGTACAATAACAATAGCAATAGACTTCTTACAATTTATTTATAAATCTAGATTCAATATTTTGAGCTACACAAGTACTAAACTTGTAAGGGAAATGAATATCAACAACCGCCACAGGCCAGTACCAGTATTCGTACTCTACTTTTCATTCATCCACGTGCAACAGTAATCTAGATTGTTTTCATCCGGGCCTACCTATTCACAGTTTTGAGATTGGCTTCGTCTCGATGATGTTGTTGTTGTTGTGAATGAATGTTACTAAACGCAAAAGCCGGAATCATTTCCAGTCAGGCTACCTACCTGGTAGGTACACGTTTAATCCATATTTACAGTAGGAGTCATTTTGCACTTAACACTGTGACATAATATGGGATTTTACATTTTGTTTGCAGACGGGAATTCGTACGTAGCTAAAGTACCATGCTCTACGGATGGCATTTCTGCCAGTTTTTTGCCCGAGTATGCATCCTCGCGCGATGGCGCGAAATACATGGTTGACGGTTGACATCTAAGTTTTGGCGTAATCCAAAACTTCGATATTTGAAACCCACAAAAGATTTTTGTGATCCACTGCCTGAATCGACGATGGAAACTCCCATCTGACGTGTAGTAACAACATCTGTAGTCTTCTTGCGACTTGTTTACGAAAAATATCGGACACTTTCTCTGGAAGATCGAGTTACATTCCCATCCACTGTAACCTTGTAGTTGAGTCAGTCTCAACAAAGCGAGGGAAGACATCATCTCGAATCTCCAGATTCATGATCTTTGATGATAATGAGAGAAATGCGTTTTGTCACTCCAATGTTTGATCGTCGAGTCGCATTTCCACTACCTACTCACTCGCATATACTGCATGATGTGATTGTTGTGTCCGAATATCTGAAATACTGCGGGGTGTGATGAAATGCGGCATGGTGTGATTGTTGTGTTAATGACATCTTTATGATTGAAAGATGTTGGGTGTCCACTATGCAACTACAAATAATTTGAAACACTATAAGCAAGCGATCTATAATAACTATTAGTGGGCATATTGTTGGGTGCTTCCACTATATTCCGACCTGCTGTAGTGATGGACACTTCATGCATAGATTCTTTGACCGAAGAACCATCACAGCAGAAGTGTACATCCACGGATTTATTGAACTCGACCCACACCCCATCTTTCAAGAGTACATGCTAGGGCAGTCCTAACACAGCTGGTCTGGGCTAGGCGCCAAACTATCATTAGCGGGTTTTTATGGCTTGCTCAAGCTTTGGTCGTCCGACTTGTGTTGGGACACACAGTTTTAAACTCCTCGCTCCTGAGCCTAGCTAGTTGACTGGAGGAGTGGACTGCTTATGATCCGAGGATACGAAATGGAGATTTTAAGCAAGCATAACATGGAGATTGCAAACGGAAACGATGACAACGCACAACATTGATTGTATGCCAATAAGCTGCACGATGATGTCAAGGAATTGCCATTTTGTGGGTGAGAATGCTACTCGTAGCGCTTAGTACTTTAGCTACGTATGAATTCCCGTCTGCAAAGAAAATGTAAAATCCCAAATTATGTCACAGTGTTAAGTGCAAAATGACTCCAACTGTAAATATGGATTAAACGTGTACCTATCCACGTACATAGGTGGTGTCTGTGTACAGCATACGTATTGTCAAAAAACTGCCTGCCGAGCGATGCCCATGGCAAAAATCTATCAAACCACGAGCGTCCACTAGGGGAAGGGTATTTACCATTTGTCCTGAAGGACGCGAAACCAATACTGGAACTGATGGTAAATATAGGCTCGGTCGTGCCAACGGCTACCAGAACAAAATTTTGCAAATTTCAGCTCCTAAAAATAGTATCGCAGGCTTCTACCGAGTTGATTTTTGTTTGCAAACCATACTTGATGCGTCCTATGGCAGCGGGATGGGCAATACAAGGATGACATTTGGTACAGAAATGCTGTCTCAAGCCTTTGGAGACGAAGAATGGCTTACTCGAATCGACCCTCCACACAGGGAACAAACCTTGCATCATCAGCTTCTTGCCCAAACAAAGATATCCGATCAAACCGCCAAGAAATCTTTCGGCTTCGGCGTGACGGCCACAAAGCAGCAGCGGCTCCCCACGAAGCGATTTCACCTTGATAGCGCAGCCTTCGGAGCCGAAACGATCGAGTATATGAAAGAATGGAACGATCCCAATTTAACCCCTGTTGACCGTTTGCTAATCTTGCAAAAGCAAACTGTCACTGCTGTGATGATCGTGGCAGGAGACGAATCTGATCCCTACATCACCATTGTCACCAATCCCTCCATTACCAAAGTTGAGGCTGATGACGGAAATTTGGGTGCTCCCATTTGGTCGGATATCCTCCAAGAGGAACTGGCGCAAGAGATTGGTGTTCCGTACAATCGTCCTTCGCATTTGGCCGCCGCAGGCACTGGTTGGGGAACGAGGACTGGCACCGTCAGTTCTCGAGACGAACTGTTTCATAAAATACAAGCAGTAATTTTGCATCCAGCCGAACGTTTCGGCTCACAGCATGGGACAATTCATCATGCATTGCTCTTTCCAGCCTTGATTTGCCCACCCGTTGGATTCTTTTGGCAAACCGACACCACATTCTCCGAATTCGTGGCAAGTATCACGGCCTTGAACGGGACTACGTATCGGTCGTTCCTAACGGTGCTGGAACTTTGCCGCTCTGAGATCGAACCGTGGTTTGATGCAGTGAATGCTTCGCCCGCGGATTTCAGTTTCCGAATGCAATCTGCCCAGCCCTTAATCGATGCCTTGCCTACTGAAGAAAATCCTATCCCAGATGGTATCGAAGATGAGAGTCTACTTGATCCAATCTTGGAGTTAGTGGACAAATTGCTGTGGCCCTATTATGAGGACCGTGTTCTGACCGACTGCGAAAGCAAGGAAGTGAGCACAAATGCATCATCGCAACTGCATTATCTTCTTCGATATGGTCGAAAGTGCTTTCCAGAGTCATTGACGTCGATGTATGGATACCAAATTCCATTCTTGACTTACTTCTTACGACCTTCAAAGGGCTGGCTGATGGGAGTGGATCACGGAGCACTCTTTTCAGACAAATGCCACCAAGCGCAATGGATTCAAAGTTACAATCCTGTGAAAGTGCCGGTCGTCGATAATGGATCGTATGAACCGGCCATGATTCAAACCAAACTTGACCTAGCAATAGGGAAGGAAGCTGCCGACAAAAACAAGGGAACAAACGACAGTACTGAAGTAAGCGACAATCCTGCCAAAATCGTTCCCCTAGATAGGGTATCTGAGGTCCAGCAAATCAATGAAAATGAAGAAGATGCGATGGTTCCTGCGATTATAATTCGCAATGTGTCTCCTAATGCTGATCTTCCTAACGTGTCGAGATGTATCGTTAACGGCATCCGAAAATTGCATGGTGAGCAAGCAGAAGTGGTGTCTTGCTACTTCATCGCCAAGACGAAAGATACAGCGAAAGCATTCTTGGAGTTCACAGAGATGCGCCACGCTAGGATGGCCTTGAAACTGGATGGAATTCAGGTGTTTTCTCGGACCATTTCATTGAAACCTATACAACCAGGCGAGAGTACCACACCAGTTGAAATTCCAAAGGAAAATGCCTCTCTGGAGAAGCCAAAAGGATTCAATATTGCTGCACGCAAAAGGGAGCTATGTACGCGACATGCTGACGGTCACTGTTGGTTAGGCGACAAGTGCCATTTTGCGCATGGAGTTCTCGACCTTCGGTTGAACTACCAAACCAGTTTGCATCCGGAGCGTTGTCTGTACATTCGTAATATTGCGCTCAACTATCCCTCGGTTGACCTGCTAAATTTTATCCGGAAGAAATATGAAAAAAGTATGCACTCATCACCAGAGTTTACAGCGATTCATGTTCGTGGTAGAATGGGAGATGCCTTGGTGGAATTCGAAGAAGTTGCGCAAGCATCAGTGGCTCGTCAGATCTTGGGGGGGACTTTAATGTCAAGTCAACTTCGATTGGAAATCTATCCTTGGAAGCCAGTGTATCAGCCTGTGTTTGTTGCCTACTTCAAGGACGATAGCGATATACCGATTGACGTTGGGCGATCACTATCCCCCAAAAGTGTCACATCGGAAGTATCTAGTCTTACAGACAAAATCAAGCTGAACCCGGAGCGATCGGAAGTAGCTACTTTAACAAGACTTAAATTGGAGACCAAACGACATCCTGACCGTTGTTTATACATTCGCAACATTTTTCGCAACTGTCCAACAGACAACTTGATCGGCTTTATCCGCAACAATTTCAAGCAGAACATGCACTCAACACCCGAGTTTACAGCGATTCATCTTCGTGGCAGAATGGGAGATGCATTGGTGGAGTTCGAAGAAGTTACTCAAGCATCAGTGGCTCGCCAGATCTTGGACGGAACTTTGATAGGACCTAATTGCCGATTGGAAATCTACCCCTGGAAGCCAGCGTATCAGCCTGCTTTTGATGCTTACTTCGATGAAGATAGGGATATGCCGATTGATGTTGGGAGAGTCCAATCCTCTCAGAGTACCATATCAGAAGGAGCCACTGCAATAAGTCTCACTGCAGAAACGAAACTGCATCCAGAGCGCTCTGTGTACATTCGCAACATTTCTCGCAACTGTCCAGCACACGACTTGATGAATTTGATCCGCAGGCAGTTTGAGCAAAGTATGCACCCATCACCCAAGTTTACAGCGATTCATGCTCGTGGAAGAATGCGAGACGCCTTCGTGGAGTTTGCAGAAGCTTCCCAAGCATCAGTGGCTCGTCAGATCCTGGTTCAGGTGACATTGGAGAGTCAACAATTGGAAGTATATCCCTGGAGTTCATCGTATCAGCCTGCATTCGTTGCCTACTTCAATGAAGATACAGACATATCGATTGATATTGGCAGCTTCCGTTCCCTCGAAATAAATGCCACATCGGAAGTAGCTACAGTGACAAGTCTCACAGCCGAAATACAAGAGAACAAGCGGAAAGCGAAAAAGCTCAGGCAACGTTTGCGTCGCAAATCAGAAAAGATCAAAAACTTGCAAGAAGAAAAGCAACAGCAAGATGAAGTCCTTCAACTGTTTGGGGCATCTTTTCATTCCATGAAGCGTGGCCTTTCAACTGCCTTGTCAGAGATTGATTCAGTTTTGCAGCAACTGATAGAACTACAACAAGTCCAAGCTACGTCTGTGTCCAATTCATCACACGCTACCGAAGCGATAAAGACCGAGATTGAACGCCTTCAAATGCTTCTGCTGACTAGCGCTAGTACCATTTCGGACGAAGGGAGCCAGACATCGTCGCTTTCTGGACATCTATAAATTCGAAAGCTGAGAAAGAACCATTCTATACTTTCTGGAGAGCACTTGAAATGCCGTTGAGTCCAGACGCTACGTTGAAAATGACGGGATACATATGCTACTTTTTGTTGTGCTGCCAGAGGACGAGGCTTTTTACTTTCACATCTTCAATCAGCTCTCAATCTGAGTGCTAGAATAACCTCACCATTTTGTTTGAAAACAAGGGTACGATACTGTAGTGTTATTGGTACACATAGGATAGGATA